CTGCTCGCAGTCCGCTGCATTCAGGGCAGGATTGGCCATGGATATCACTCCACTGCTTCTGTGGTAATAGCCTTAATCAGCATCAGCAGTTACGCTTTTTATTTTTCCAAACACATGAGTTCACTTTGAGAGACCTGAGATTCATTTCTATAGTGTGTTCTGCGCTGGAGAGAATGAAGAGGAAGAAACCATCTTTCAGCCCCAATCTGTTGTCAGATAAACATTTCAATGCGGGTGTGTATAATCCTTTCTCTCCCAGACTTTAGTTTAATCCCTTTTCCCTGAACAAATAGGTGTCCTCTGGCAAGGAACTGATGTGTGGCTGTAAATAGGCGGTGTTTTTATTATCCAGTTAATCTCCATTTATTATCGCACATTCAACAAACAGCAGACGCTCTCCTACTTGTTTGTCTGTTCACAGGAAGAAATTTTATCTTAGTCAGTGGATTATGGCAGAGGCCGAGTGAATCACTGTGCTGCGACATGGGACACGGTCAGCCCTTTTGGGGTTATTCAAACAAAGGGCCAGATCAGCCGGCCAGATAAAATGTTTAACACTCCAGATTGCGAGGATCATCAGTTTAGTATTCATGGCTCTCAGTAGCATTGCCTAAAGCCCGTGTTCAGATGGAACTGGGGGTAGGTCGGTGCAGGCCGCGGGCTCTGGGCGCCTGGTGGCCGCGGCACCCGTGGAGGTCGGAGCTGCGGTGCGGCCTCCTCTGCAGCCCTGCAGCACCGCTTCTCAGACAGGCTGCTCGGACCCTTCCCCCGTAGCCTGAGGATGCAATACATGTAGTTCTGCAGTGCTGTAAGCTGCAGCCTGTGATGAAGGGCTGAAGGGAGTGGGATATTGAAATGTAATAGTCAGCTTGTTCGCCTTTTCTCAGATACTGCGTGTCTGAAATTACCTTCTGCCTTTCCCTGGGCTCCCTTGCGCTTCCCAGTTGCTGGTGCTGAACTGCTCTAACACCCCCCTGCCTCTTTCCAGCCTCTTGCCCTGCTGGGGTCACCTGTGACCATGTTCCAGCAGGCTGAGCTTCTCTGTTCCCATTTTCTCAACTGAAGCCAAGACTTGCATGCAACTGCCATGGGCAATACCTGCTTGTACAAGTACTGTGTGTGGGCCTGGCTCAGGGAGGGTCCTCAGTTCTCTTGTTTTTCCCAAGCTCCTGCTACTGAAGCAGGGACTGGCCTTCCCGAGAAGGCACCGCACGTTCTGCTTGAGTAATGTGCAGCTGCTGTGGTGAGGCGCAAGTGCTCAGTTTCCCCAAAGACCTTACCTCATTCCGCATTTTTGTTGCCTGGGTCCATTGCTTTGCTGATGCCAGAGACAGCATTTCCCTTCTGCACTGGGTGCTGGCCAGACAGGATTAGTTTTCTTGAGTGTGGCCATATGTGCCCCACATCTTCCCCAGTTGAGCAGCATCTTTCTCGTACTCGTTTTGCTGCAGGTCTATCTATTATAGGCTGTCCTGGTTGATCAAGGGAAAGAAAATACCCAGACTTACTTACACCCCAAAGCTTGGTATAGGTAAGGTACTTGGTGAATATTTATTTACACAATTGCTTTCTTGGTGAATCAGATGCTAATTCTAACCTTTTCTGTGAAGGGGTTCACTCGATTCTGCTTTTATGTAAACTTTCAACCTGCTGCCATGCTTTCCTTGACAGAATAAAAAGCATAACTGTAGCGACAAGATCAGGAGATGCGGCAGTGTAATAGTCTGATTATTGATGTCTTGTATGATCACATAACCCCCAGAAGGAAATTCTCCAGTGCAGTGACTGGGGCTGTAAGACAGGGTCCTGCATATGAGTAAGGAGAAGGTGCCCCTGGGAGCCTTGGGGGCTGTTCAGGTGCGTGTGCTGAGCGGCTGGGGCAGGGGGTGAGGTGTGCAGAGTCCTGCCTGGGAAATGTGGCCCTGTGGAAAAACCTTTCCTGGGTAGTGCTGCTCATTCACCTACTAAGCGGCGCATCTGAAAACATACCCCTGCTTCTGCTAAATCAAAGCTTTCCAAGGAAGGCCCTGTCTCTGAAGCTGGCAAATCAAGTGAGCTCCTTGCTCTTATTTTACTCCTTTTCTATTTAAAGCACTGTCTGTCCTAGCAGGAGAGGGCAGTTACCTTTTCTGAAGCATTCCACAAGATAGTGTGTACTAGCTACTGGCTGGTGGGGGCACCCGGAAGGTATCTTCAGTAGCACAACCACTTTTTCTAGCAGAATATAGAGGGTGTTTGAATGTTTGTTATTTAAATTGTCATCACTGTGAGCATCAGCTTCAGGAACTAGTGTTGATACTCTTC